GATAAAATTAAGAATTAACAAGATGAGATTGATGAAAAAGGATTCAGGATTTAGGACATTCACTCAGACGAAGATACTGGTGTATATGGTTTGAGGTTTCTGATACAGATAATGGTGGTTGTGGCGGTGATTTACCGGTTGTGAGGAAGTGACGATTTGGATGAGATGAAGCCAGAGAAGAGGCGTGGGGCTATGGCGGAGTGGGGTGAAGATAAAGCGGAGACGAGTTGTTATGGTGATGTTTTGGGGCGGCGATGAAGAAGGAGTTTGATAGTTGTGCCGCTGTTGAGATAAAGAGAACGATGAGTTCTCATGAAGTCCAAGAGGCACAAACGTTAACCCTAATCCCTCACTTTCAATTTTTTTGGTTTCTTTTCAAGTTCTTTTTTTATTTATTATTTTATTTTATTACCAATTGCTTTTAATAGACTGTAAAAAAAATGAAAATGAATGGTATAATGTTGCAGCCTGGGCCGAACCATCCTTTGCTAAGCCCATGTCCTACTTTTTTTTAGAGAGTTTGAGTTGCAATAAAAAAGATTCTATTGGACTCTGATCAATAGGCCTAGCGCCTGAATTGTTATTTGCACCCCTGGACTATGTCTTGTTGTTTACTGTTTTAGTAATTTATTTTAGCTAATTTTGTTAATTGTTTAGACTTGTTTGAATTTTCTTTACATGATAAAAACGATAAAATCAATAAAAATTTGTAGATTTTTTATATTTTAGTTTTAGGAATTAAATTTCGATTATCCGATTATATTTGAAATTCGCGATTCACCTTTGTTTGGTGAGATTTGAGTCTTATGCAGGTTTATTATGCGGATGTGCCTGAGACTTTGATTGTGATTTAACATGAATCCCTTCTAACATGAATCCCTTCTAGAAGGGATCCATGTTAGAAGGGATTCTGGTTCTAGAAGGGATTCTGATTCTAGAAGGGATTCATGTTAGAAGGGGTTCTCCTTAGAAGGGATTCATGTTCTAGAAGGGGTTCTCCTTAGAAGGGATTCATGTTAGAAGGGATTCATGTTAGAAGGGATTCTGGTTCTAGAAAGGATTCATGCTAGAAGGGATTCTTCTTAGAAGGGATTCTGGATCTAGAAGGGGTTCATGTTAGAAGGGATTCATTCTAGAAGGGATTCATATTAGAAGGTGTTCTCATTAGAAGGGATTCATGTTCTAGAAGGGATTCTCCTTAGAAGGGATTCTATATTATCTTTCATTATTCATATTTTATTTCAACCTAATACCCTTTACGACAGGCGCTAACCACTTTCTGCCAGCTCGAACCGGATCGGCTTACCACTTTCCAGCATCCACTGGATCAGATGAGTATCTTTAACAAGAAGCAAGCCCTCTTCAACCAGAATCCCTTCTAACATGAATCCCTTCTAGAACCATAATCCCTTCTAACATGAATCCCTTCTAAGGAGACATGAATCCCTTCTAAGGAACCAGAATCCCTTCTAAGGAGAACCCCTCTTCTAACATGAATCCCTTCTAGAACCAGAAACCCTTCTAAGGATGTTCTAGAACATAAATCCCTTCTAGAATGAATCCAATCTAACATGAATCCCTTCTAGAATGAATCCCTTCTAGAACCAGAACCCCTTCTAACATGAATCCCTTCTAATGAGAACCCCTTCTAGAACCAGAATCCCTTATAACATGAATCCCTTCTAGATCCAGAATCCCTTCTAATGAGAACTCCTTATAATACGAATCCCTTCTAACATGAATCCCTTCTAGAAGTAATTGAAAAGGATAAAAAAGAATTAATTGGATTAAAAGAGTTTTTATTTCATTTTTAAATATTTGTTACAATTATTATTTAAATACAAGTATTCATTTACACGGTATTTATAATAATAATAGTTACAATAATTAAATTTAAAATAAGACTATCCTAATTGTTTCTAAATCTTCAATTCTTCGTTCTTCATCTGTTGCTAAATCCTCTCCATTCAATTTTTATCTGCAAAAGAAAAGAAGAAAAGTTAGAAACAGATAAATATTTAAAGAGACAGACAGATATAGAGTTCATTATTAAAAGCAAACGGCCGAGATCAGTTAGCCCTCTCTGCAAATCACGGGATTTCTCCCGGTTCACAAAGAAGGGTGAAAATGTTTGTAAGTCAAAAATGAATGCACAAAGTCAAAAATTGCACATTTCAAAATTGTCAAAATTGCATAGTTCAAAGCAAACAGCATGTATAACTAAGAGTCCAAGTTCAAACTAAGTTCCAATGTCAAACTAAAAAAAAGTTGCCCAAAGGATGTCAAAGTACAAAAGGCCATCAAAGCTGTCAAAAGAAGATATGCAAATATCACGAAAGTAGAAAGTATGCAGAGAAAGATTAGAAGTGCAAGCAAGGTTTTCAAGTCATCATTTCCCAGCTGTTTTCTTTTTCAGAAAGGTACAAACACAAACATTTTTTATTGTTTTAAGTTGTACTGGAGAGAGAAGAAGAGGGAAAATAAATCTGGTGAACAACCGGTTGCCAACATCTTGTAAAAGATACCAATTGCTTCTGGTGATCTTCCTTTCATACAATGACCAATAATAAGTATAGTAAACGTCAATTTATCCGGTATACATTTATTCTCCATATCTATCACAATTGCATTAGCTTCATCAACATTACCGGATTTGCAATATCCATCAATGACTGGATTGTAGATAAATGGCCGTGGAATAATGTCACTCTGATTCAATAGTTTTAGAAGCTCACGAGCTTCTTCTAGTCTATTGCTCCTGCACAGAGCACTAAAATCCCTTCTAAAACATGAATCCCTTCTAGGATGAATCCCTTCTAGAACCAGAATCCCTTCTAACATGAATCCCTTCTAAGGAGAATCCCTTCTAATGAGAACCCCTTCTAGAACATGAATCCCTTTTAGAAGGGGTTCTCCTTAGAAGGGATTCATGTTCTAGAAGGGGTTCTCATTAGAAGGGATTCTCCTTAGAAGGGATTCATGTTAGAAGGGATTCATGTTAGAAGGGATTCTGATCCTAGAAGGGATTCATGCTAGAAGGGATTCTTCTTAGAAGGGATTCTGGCTCTAGAAGAGATTCATGTTAGAAGGGATTTATTCTAGAAGGGATTCATATTAGAAGGTGTTCTCATTAGAAGAGATTCATGTTCTAGAAGGGATTCTCCTTAGAAGGGATTCTATATTATCTTTCATTATTCATATTTTATGTCAACCTAATGCCCTTTACGACAGGCGTTAACCACTTTCTGCCAGCTCGGCTCGAACCGGATCGGCTTACCACTTTCCAGCATCCACTGAATCAGATGAGTATCTTTAGCAAGAAGCAAGCCCTCTTCAACCAGAATCCCTTCTAACATGAATCCCTTCTAGAACCATAATCTCTTCTAGGATGAATCCCTTCTAGAACCAGAATCCCTTCTAACATGAATCCCTTCTAATGAGAACCAGAATCCTTTCTAGAACATGAATCTCTTCTAAGGAGAATCCCTTCTAACATGAATCCCTTCTAGAACCAGAATCCCTTCTAACATGAATCCCTTCTAATAAGAATCTCTTCTAATATGAATCCTTTCTAAGGAGAATCCCTTCTAACATGATTCCCTTCTAGAATAAATCCCTTCTAGCATCAATCCCTTCTAGGACCAAAATCCTTTCTAACATGAATCCCTTCTAGAACCAGAATCTCTTCTAGAATGAAGAAGGGATTCATGCTAGAAGGAATTATGGTTTTAGAAGAGATTCATGTCATAGAAGGGATTCTTGTTAGAAAGGGTTCTCCTTAGACGGGATTCATGTTAGAAGAGATTCTGATTCTAGAAGGGGTTCTCCTTAGAAGGGATTCATGTTCTAGAAGGGGTTCTCATTAGAAGGAATTCTTCTTAGAAGGGATTCATGTTAGAAGGGATTCATGTTAGAAGGGATTCTGGTTCTAGAAGGGATTCTGACTCTAGAAGGGATTCATGTTAGAAGGGATTCATGTTCTAGAAGGGATTTTAGAAGGAGTTCTCATGAATCCCTTCTAACATGAATCCCTTCTAGAGCCAGAATCCCTTCTAACATGAATCCCTTCTAGAGGCAGAATCTCTTCTAAGGCGAATCCCTTCTAGCATGAATCCCTTCTAGAACCAGAATCCCTTCTAACATGAATTCCTTCTAAGGAGAATCCCTTCTAAGGAGAATCCCTTCTAATGAGAACCCCTTCTAGAACATGAATCCCTTCTTACATGAATCCCTTCTAACATGAATTCCTTCTAGAGCCAGAATCCCTTCTAAGGAGAATCCCTTCTAGCATGAATCCCTTCTAGAACCAGAATCCCTTCTAACATGAATCCCTTCTAACATGAATCCCTTCTAAGAAGAATCCCTTTTAATGAAAACCCCTTCTAGAACCAGAACCCCTTCTAACATGAATCCCTTCTAATGAGAACCCCTTCTAGAACCAGAATCCCTTATAACATGAATCCCTTCTAGAGTCAGAATCCCTTCTAATGAGAACTCCTTCTAATACGAATCCCTTCTAACATGAATCCCTTCTAGAATCAGAATCCCTTCTAGAACCAGAATCCCTTCTAACATGAATCCCTTCTAAAGAGAATCCCTTCTAGAACATGAATCCCTTATAGGATGAATCCCTTCTAGAACCAGAATCCTTCTAACATGAATTTCTTCTAAGGAGAATCCCTTCTAATGAGAACCCCTTCTAGAACATGAATCCCTTCTAAGGAAAACCCCTTCTAACATGAATCCCTTCTAGAACCAGAATCCCTTCTAACATGAATCCCTTCTATAATGAATCACTTCTAGAACCAGAATCCCTTCTAACATGAATCTCTTCTAGAACCATAATCCCTTCTAACATGAATCCCTTCTAGAATGATTATGGTTCTAGAAGGGATTCTCCTTAGAAGGGATTCTCCTTAGAAGGGATTCATGTTAGAAGGGATTCTGGTTCTAGAAGGGATTCATCCTAGAAGAGATTCATGTTCTAGAAGGGATTCTCCTTAGAAGGGATCCATGTTAGAAGGGATTCTGGTTCTAGAAGGGATTCTGATTCTAGAAGGGATTCTGGTTCTAGAAGGGATTGTGATTCTATCAACCTCATATATTCTACATAAACCATGTATAAGAGTATTATAACTAACAACATCAGGATAACAACCAAAGCTTCTCATATTATTCAGAAATCTAAAAGCCTCGTCGATTTCTCCAACAACACAGAAACCTCGAATCAAAATATTGAATGTGAATATATCTACATCGAAATCGAATCTAACGAACTCCCTAAACAAACTAACAGCTTCGTCTAACCTATTACATTTAACCAAAATGTTAAGAAAGTTATTGTAAACAACAACATTTACATCAACCTTATTACACAAAGCATCAGTAATAAACTTCTTGGAAACATCAAACCTATGAACAAATGCAAATGACGAAACCAAGAATCCCAACAACCTACTATCAGGCAACAACCCATCAGACCTCATGGAATCATAAACAAGTTTTGCTGAACTGTGGTGATGTTGTTGACAAAGGGACCTTAAGAGAAAATTGTAAGTCCAAAATGAATGAGAAAGTTTCAAGCTTTGTTTGGTGAACTGGAAAAAAGTGAAACCTAATTGAGGGTTGTTTAGTTTTTTGATAACTTGTGATGTAAGTGAAGGGGTTAAGTGGTTACTGACGTAAGCAGAAAATGTAGCGTCATATGAGTTTGTGAAGCGAAGAAAGAGCGTTGAAAGGATTTTGACAAACCAAGCTTCGGGTTTGTTGGGTTTAAGGGTGTGGTAATGGGTGATAAGGGTAGTATTGAAAATTCGAAAAGTGGTGAAGATGAATGAAAATGTCATCACAACAACAAATAGGTTCAACAACCGACTAGATATCCTGTAAAACAGTTCAATTATAAGTGAGTATTGAACCTGGAAATGACGCTAGAACAGTGTATGCGTGGTGGTGCGGCGGAGAGGAACAACGGGGTGGTGGTGCGGCCGAGAGAAAAGCGGCCGAGAGGAATCTGGAATTTTGAATTTTAGAGTTTTGAATACAATTTATCAATTTGCAGCGCCGAGATCGGAATTGACTGCTTCCAAAGGTGATGTTTCCGACTACTTCCAGGCAGCTTCAATGCTTGACGGATTTGATCCCATTGAAAGCTTTAGCTTTATGCTTTTAATGGTTGTTATTGTCGGTGTCTCAGTTGAATATTATATTCACGATGTTGCAGTCGAAACTTTTTATTGGCATAATGTTGTATTGATGATTGATGGTCATGGTATTGATGGATGCTTTGAGCTTTGTAAGGTGCTTGAGACATAAAATTATGAGATTTGTTGTTGCAACATAACTCTTTTCAATGATGGAAACTACTTCTGTTATTTCAGGTATCTTGCTTCTTTTTTATCTTGTGTTTAATTTTTAAACTTTTGTCTTTATTACTGCTAACTTTGTGACTTTATAAAAACACTAATACATATTTTACTGATGTAAATGTGTAGTTGACGTTTGAGTTTAGTGATGATTCGATGTTGGAAAAAAAAGTGGATCACTTATGCTGGTACGACTTGGAGGAGTTTTAAGTCACGACTCACGAAAAAACTACATCACGAATCCTAAGCCTAATATTGAGCACCCATGGGTTAAATATCCTTTTCTAATACGAAAGATTTTGAGAAAGTTTGTGAAGTCTCGTAGTACAGATAATTTCAAGGTTAGCACCAATTGTATTTTCTGATAATTTTATAGATACAACAATTACTGTTAATATTTCTCCTATGTTTTAAACAGGTTAGAAGTGAAGCGAGAAAGGCGGACAAGGATAAAAACAAATACCCTCATAGATTGTCTCGTGGGGGTTACAGAAAACTTGAGAAAGAAGTATTGATGAAAAAAAACAACAACTAGGAGATGTGAACATGAGTGGTGATCAGGAACCATGTTCACCGTCATGACATGAGAAGTGGAAGAGGGCGCGACAAAGGTCAAATGGAGACTACACTTTTGAGGCCTCAAGATTAGTCACTGAGAGAATTGTAAGTACGTTGGACTTTTTGTGCATATGTTAAGTGTTATTTAAATTTGCTTTGGTAATTAATAATGTATGTCTTATCATATTGTGTAGTATTCGTTGGTTACCTCAACCCATGAAAGTTCCTTTGTTCCAGAACCACAATATGATATATTAGTAGAAGTCATCGGAATAAAGGAGCAGGGTGGATGTGTCCATGGTGTTGGAGATTCCATCGACCTGAGAGTGTGTTCCTGTGTAAAACAAATATCTGAACGACTTCCCAGAATGCAACTAAGGAAATCCTACCGGAGTGAATTTATGAGATGATTGGGGGATTTAGGAGCTACCGCAGTGATGCGTACTTCTCAAGATGAATATCTTGCTTATCCCTTGTGTGGGAGCCCCTTTATATAGTGAGAGTCCTTGCTTCATCAAAAGCCTCGGTTAATGAGGGACTCTTGAGTTCCATAACTGTGTAACCACCACCGTCTCCATAAATGAAGATAATTAGTGATGTGTAATGTAGTAATGAATGTGCGCTGGTGGTTACTGGCTTTAATGGGCCGGGATGATGATCGATTATGAGTAGGTGCTTGTTGCACCCCAAAATTTTCCTTCCTAATTTCTTTTATTTGGCTTAGACTTTTGCATTCACATCATTCCAATAGGTCATGTGCATAGCATGCATTTTCAAAAAAAAAATAGAGCACCTAGAATCAGCAGTTATGGAGCTAGGGTTCACAACTGATTTGAGGTGTATATGGTGAATAAGACGGATCATTCTGTTTCTTCTTGGTGTGGAAGACTGGGGAATCAGGGTTTTGGTTCGTGTTCAGTTTGTATTTCTTCTCCATCAAGTAACAAGGTTATTCTCTTTGTCTGAATATTAAAATGAAAGGTGTTTATTGTTAAGAACTCAAGGGCATGACCTAGCGTACGTGGTCTTTAAATCAAGGCGTCTCTTCATATAAGTGTGATTATCATTTGATCAGGATCAAGGACTTTGACATGGCATTTATCCATTCTTCAATTAACCAATTCGTGTTTTGATGAATCATGGTTCAGAGGATCATTGAATCATGGTTCAGAGGATCATTGAATTGTGAATCATGGTTCAGAGGACTTTGACATGGCATTTATCCATTCTTCAATTAACCAATTCGTGTATTAATGGAGAAATCAACCGAAACAAGCTTGTGCGAAGATGAGAGCCTTAAAGCCATACACCAACCCTTATTCCTCGAAATCCCTGATCTTATGCCAATTTATTGATTAATGATGCATGATGTGTTAGATTAGCTAATGAAGTTATGTGCATGAAAAAAAGTGTGAGATGCATAAGCCAGATAAAAAGTAGAAGGGTAGGACAAATTTGGGATATTACACTACCCAACTTATTATCTGGATGGAATTGATCCTTATTTGATTTTACTCCTCATTGGGTGGTGTCTTGGTTGATTGTTTCACTCCGATTTGTTTTTGGTTTGAATGTGATCCCCTATTTCACGGAAGGTGGTACGGGACACTAAAGGTTCACAACCGCGACGGGTGCAAAATTGTAAAAAATCACTTCTTTTCTCATCTCCACCATCTATTTTTGTATACATTTTTTATAGCCAAAATACACAGTTTTTCAAAGAGGTTCCTGTGGAGTACCGTAGATGTTTAGGGTACTAATACCTTCCGTTTGTATAACCAACCCCGTACCTAAATTCTCTCCCCTCTCTTTTTGGGTTTATTCGCTCTTTTCCCATTTCCTTTGAAAACAATAAAGCGCGGTTGTGATTTTTATTTTGATTTGTGCGAGTTAAGTCAGTTCAATGGTTTAGTCTCAACATTTCTATACACCTAGTATGAAGAAAGACACTTTGGTTAATGCCATTACACATAAGATGGAGATCTTAATATATCAACTTCCAATTTCTCTCTTGGAACTGCTTCTCAATTATGTTCATGTGTGCATGTTTCCTCCAATGTCTCTTTTTCTACCTCTTTATAAGGAGTTGAAGATTTAAAGAAAAACAATTTACAACTTAACAAGAGAACAACGCTGAACATATTTTTGCTAAAGTTATTTACTGCACAAGATCTTAAGATTTCTTATTCTTGTATATTTTAGAAATCTTAAGTGTTTACAAAATCTTTCTGTAAATATTGTCTCTTCTATACTTCTGAATATTACATCAAGTATAGTGGTTATCTGTTTCACCTAAATTATTTATTTAATAGTATATGAAGTCTCTTGCTATGTTGTTTGAGCAGCGAAAGTCTCTTGTCTGTGTACTTGAGCAGAAGTCTCTTTCTAGTGTGATTGCGCACTTGAAATCTCTTGCTAGTTTGCTTGAGCAAGTGCAATCTGATTGATTATAGTGAAAAATATCTTAGTTGATAAGGGGACTAGACTACTCTCTTTTTTGGGAGAAACTAGGATAACTTTGTGTGTGTTTTTACTTCTTGCTTCTATATTTTATTTCATTATGCTGCTAACTATTATAAGTTTATATTCTCATCTTGTTCAATTTCTGAAGTTGATTTTAAGAAGCGAAAAGAATTCACAATACACAATTCAACCTCTTTTTTCTTGTGTATTTTTCTCACCTTTTGTTGGTATTATAGTACAATCTGTGTTAAACACTTAACAGTGGTACATTAAAAGATCCTGAAGAAAAAATAATAGATGACTGACTCTTCTAATGTAAGTAATGTGACTGGTGGTGGTGGTATACTTTATGATTATAGTGCTCCTAAAAGAGTCATTATTCTGCAAGGTCACCTACATTCAATGGTGATTCCACTCAGTTTGAATGGTGAAAAATCAAGATGTATACTTATATCATTGGTCTTGATGATGAGTTGTGGGATATCCTTGAAGATGGCATTAACATTGAAGTTAATGGTGTTGAAATGGTTATTGATAGAAAAACTCTCACACCAACTCAAAAGAAATTTTACAGAAAACATCATAGAGTTAGAGGTATTTTGATAGAAGTTCTACCTCATTCTGAGTATATCAAGATCATTGATAAGTCTACTGCTAAGACTATCATTGAATCCTTGTGTTCTACTTATGAAGGAAATCTACAAGTCAAAGCTAGTACAACACTATGAGTCAAAGAAGTTTTTGATAATGAAGTTTCCGATGGTGACTCTGATGATGAGGAAATGACCTTTATCATAAAAAGGTTTCAATAAACGGAAAAAATGAACAAGTGATTCTACGATAGAAGTGTAAGTACGGAGTGCGCCTAAGAGGGAGGGTGAATTAGGACTTTAAAAACTTTATCAGGTTTTATGAATCTTGGTTCTAACTTTTTCTGGTTTGATTAAGCGATGAAAGCGGTAAAGTGTAGAAAGTAAAGAACACAAGAAATTTATACTAGTTCCTTTTATAATATGGGAGTACGTCTAGTCCCCTTACCACATGTAAGAGTTATTGTTAGATCTTATGGACAAGACTCTTCTAGTATTCCTATCTAACCAAATCACTAAGAACAATCCTCTTGTGATTTTCCACACTTATAACCAAGTTATGAAGAATAATCCTCTTGAAACTTATTCCACAAGAAAAGAAAACAATCATCCCCTTTCTTGTAACCTTATCTCCAATAATTCTGGATGATAAGGAAACACACCTAATATTAAAAAATCCTTGATACTTAGAAATTTGTAACACAATAATAATTTATATAAGAAGAAAGTTTGTATAATGGACAAGATTTAATCAAATGACCAAAGTCTTCTTCTCTTTCAAATATGAAATATCAATAACATAAACTCTTTAAGTGCTCAATGATGCTTTTGGAATGATATGAAAACTTTCTCAAAAAGGCATCAAAGTATGAAAGTTCTGTTGAAAATAATGCAGAGAGATTGTGAAGATTTTGAAAGAGGTGAATGAAAAATAAAACTTTGAATTCCATTAATAATGATGAAACAACTATTCATAAATCATGGCAATGGTTAAATAAAATCTGAAATTTTATTAGTGAAATGATATAATGATTGTCATGAAAAGAGTTGATGAATGAGTGTTAGAAAACAAAATATTTTTCAATTATGATACAAGTGCAATCGATTGCACTAAAACCACAATCGACTGCTCACCCTACCAACGTTAAAAAAAATTGAAATCCGAATTGATGCAATCGATTGCACAAAAATTACAATCGATTGCACTGCTTAAAAATTACTAGAGTTTTACGCGGACAAAGAATATTGCAATCGATTGCACTGCTTAAAAATTACTAGAATTTTACACAGACAAAGAGTATTGCAATTGATTGCACAATAACCACAATCGATTGCACTTTTGAAACCTTTGAAATTTTTCTAAGTTAAAATCATAAATCAGGCAAGACTTCAAAGTTTTAACTAGAATCATTAACCCAACTTCATAAAACATTTTTCTCATGTTATATGCATGAGTTAAATAATTGAGGTATATGTTAAGAATTTCATATATTTTGAAATTTGATCACAAAGCTTGAACAAAGTCATGCATCAAAAACGTTCAGAGATGTATTTCTGGACCACTCACAACTGTTTGAATAAATAATATTTACGGATATGCATCTTCAGACGTATTTTTTACACATACAAAAATTCATCTCCAAATAAAATTTTAACGTAAAAAGGACACCTCTTTAATTTGATATGAGAAATAACTAAAAGTGTTCATATTTGTATGGGATAACAACTAAGGGTGGACAGAGTATTCCTCTAAATGATTATAGATTGAATTGACTTAGCTAATACAAGTGAAGTTAATAAAAAATAAATAAAACTGCATTTAGATTAATCAAAGGTGTGACTTGAGTTGTTTAAACTTTACGTGAAAAGATCCTAGGCCTCGTCACCTCTTAAGAATCGAACATGTCCTGTACATATCTAAGACAATTTTACATGTCCCAAAAAATTGTCACTAATAATGCATATTGATTATGTTATTGAAGACGTGCAATTCGCAGTCACCAATACATGAATGCTTCTGTTTGTTTGTATCATCTTTTCGTCACTTTGATTTGAATAAAATATATATACACTTTGCTTTGAGATATGGAACCGTGCATATCCAAAATGACTAAGCAAGATATTACTTCTGATGAAATCGCGAGACGATCAAGTGTATCTGCAAAGAAAATTACACACAAACCATTTAGTCAATTGTTTGTTGGGAACATTTGAAAACATAAAATAGCTTGCAACAGCAACAATATCTTTGCTTACAATGTTGTTTTCGGGTTTCGTCCAATAGAATCCCTGAATAGCAATCACGGCTAAGTTTGAAGATACAAGGACAAATATACTCAAAGAGTGTTTTCCCATCCACTCCAACACACTTGTCAAACGTCTGTGACCGTAAACGTCTACCTGCATTCTTGAACACGCGTTATATATAACCTTAAATTTCCATTGCAAGAGATCATTGCTGCAAAGAAGGCACCTTAGATGATATATCTTCCAAATAGTTTTCTATTGTCACAGCATTTAGAACTCACCAGAACATATAAAGCCATAAATGTGAGACCGGAAGCTGCAGAACTAAGCATCATATAACTGACTGTGTATAGAGATTTATTTGGAGGAATTCCTGAAAACAAATGCATCAGTGAACGTAGACACGGATTGATTTGCTAAAAAGTAACAACAATGATTATGAAGAGAAAGTGTTTGAATCATTATTAGTGAGTACCAACATACCTAATATAGCCAAGAACCATCCGAGAGCCAAAAATGAAACTGAAAAGCCAAGCCAGTGATTTATGCGTCCTCTGTGGTCCTACAGTATTACAGAAAAGTATAGATCAGCTGAGTCGGCTCTACTGCATAATCAAAGGATGTAGTGCCAACATAAGTTAAGGGGGGAGGGTATGACTACACCACTGAGTTAAAATTTAAAATTAAAGAACTTACATGTATACAAGATTCAGTTAACCGAATACATGATCTTACCTCTAAATGGGCAAGAATGTGACCATATTGGAGTCCAATGATGCATGAAACTGCAGCTGTTATGGAGCTGAAAACAAATGAAAAGGATTATAATTTGTAAACTGTCTTCTGTTAGTACCGAATACCGATCAACATAACTTGAATATTAGTATAAAGCATACAACCATCACATAAATTTCTGCTAAATTAGTATTCCTTGCTCAACAATTTATAGAGAATCTAAAAGGTGTAAATATGGCAAAATAGTAGATTCTACCAAAACCTGCAACTTATTCAGTAGAAAACAAACCTTTTACAATAGATAATAATAATAAAATGAAAACTAAAATATCATAGAAGGAATCAGTGCATGAAATTACTTCACATCGCGCCATTGTGTACAATAGAGAACATATAAACATGAGGTCAGTCAGCGAAGGCTGTTCCAAAAATATAAGGACCTCTGGTATATATCCACTAAAGCTTTAAAAGGGCATCACAATCCAGTCTTTCCAAAAGTAGAGAACGATTCGACGTATAAATGAGAAAGAAGCTTGCAAAACTAACTGAAGTTAGTTATTTTAAGTATGGTGATTGAACCTGTCCTAGCAAAAGAGCGCTTCATAGTTTAGTGAAGTTGTTTTTAGCATAAGTCCAGCAAGGAGTTTACTGTTTGACTAGGAGGTTAAAAGAAAAATCAATCAGGTTTGATTTAGTATAACATCACCCTGAACTAGTTATATAGTCTAAACAATCCATGAGATCACTGTGTTGGAAATACAAATTTTAAGTGATAAACTTTCATACATATGTGAAGACGTGAAGTAGACTAGTTACCTTAAAATGCCTTCTGAGTCAAAAGGGGCATGACACCATGATGGAGAACTATCTGAAACTTGGCCAGTGCTAGACATATTGCACTCCTGGAAGTTACATGATCAAGGTATTAACATGTCAAAGTATGATGTAAACCATTGAACAAAGAAATGGGACCATTTATAAGATACCTTAAGATTTCTATAAACAGGCTTTTTGTATAGATGGTCAAGACCAAGAATATACCGATCGATCATTCCAGCAGAATTACAGGCAGGTCCAAGATCTCCTCTCACCGAACAATTCACCTGATACGGAGTTGAGAACATTGTAAGAATTATGAAAAAAAATATTTTGAATTTCATCAGCAGTATAGTTTATAACAAACGAAACTATTGAGAAAAACTCTAGTCCAGCATACATTAAAGATAAAGTCTGACTAGAGTTTATAAACGTGAAACACATCATCTTACAAGTCGGCTTTGTAGAATGAGTTAGGTCCAGACGTCCAGTATAAAAAAAAAACTAATAGAATCATAAGTAATAATAAACAGGTAAACATTTGGGCAAGCAATAGTGAGTATTGGATGAGGCGAAAATAGAAGGAATATGCAGGTATTACTATCGGAAACAATGAATCACTCATCAATTGTAGCTCAAACAACATCACATGTACATTTTCACAATATCCCTGAAACAGGTGTCTTAGACTAGCAATGTTTCTATATTATGTAGAACATCAAATTCAAAACAAAAAACTGTTGCACAGAATACATAGTTAAGCGGAAAATGAAGCGTGGAGACATGTAGCCTACTTTAACCTTGTAAACATTGGCACTATCAATTGGAGGCAAAGAAGAGGTAGCGGCTGATACATCAAACTGCCAATCTGGAACATATAGACCATACAACAAACCCGAGTAAATCGCCAACAATATTGCTGCAACAAACCTGCATAAAAAACATGTGTGACATCACGAAGAAAAGGAAAAGTATGTAAAAGTATAACTAGTGAAGAAATTGAAAGCATACCAATGGCAGTAATAACTTTTGAAGAAACCCATTTGTTTCCATTGCAGAGTTGGAAGCCAGATTTCACATAAAGCAGCAACTATGTAACCAATAGATATCCTCTGTATGTATTCATAGTTCACCATTTCAAATTCTTAACAACAAAGAGATTGAAACATGAAAAGATTATAGTACCTGTAAAACACCAAACCATCTTATAGTTCGAATGTCGACACTGTAAGTTAAGGAAGTTATCCCATGAAAATAACCACCTGAAATGATAATAATTATTTATTGAACACGTGAAGCTCGAAAAGTAAGAAATGAGTAGTTATTATAGTTGATCACTGACCTTGAAGAAGAATGCCAAGAAAAAAGAGTTGAAGTGATCTAACTAATGCTTTCCGTGTAGCTTGTGTTCTCTGTGGTCTTCTCTGACATTTTTTTATAGAAAAAATAAATATAAAATAAAAAACTTAAAAGATGCAAAACTGAAGAAGGAGTGAAGAAGCACCTTATAAAGAAGTGCTAGTGAAATTCCAACGAGAAAGAGAAAAAACGGCATGACTAAATCAGCGAGGTGAATACCATTCCAGGGTACATGAGAAATTACGGGGAAGATGGATCCACCATAATCCACGAATATCATAAGCTGCAATGGTAATTGGAGTTTTTAGATTAGTCAAAGAAGTAAAGAAAAGCGTTGACCGAAGAGAGAGAAAGTTACAAAAACAGAGAGGCCACGGAAGACATCAACGGAGGCGACTCGGGGGAGTCTGAGCTGAATTTTATGAAGATCCAATTAGTAGCCGCATCTGAACGCAACAAACATGTGATTTACCAATCCAGATTTTATCATAAAGTCCAGACTAAGAATTTATGACGAAGCTGAACATTCAACGAGTCCATCAGATAATCCCCACTCTTGTATGTTGATAGAACCCATAATTTCAATTAAGACAAAACTGTATATTATTTGATGAAAATGTGAGCTCAATAGCTCTACAATGGAGAAACAAATAACACCCTCTAAGACTCCAACCAGAGTGATATTCCCTCCTAACCAATTTCTTAACAAACTTCTCAATGGCCTTTACCACTCTCTCCTTTTTATATTATATGTGTTTCCCCTCTAACAGAAAGCTGTCGCACCAGCGTGATATTGATTAGACGGTGTTAGGTGTGTTAAGCCCACTTAGGCCAACACCCCATTCAAGGTCCTAAAATTACCAGCCCCTTGAAAATAGACTTGGCCTCAGGTCTGAGCTTGGGACATTGACTATGTCTCCAATGTAGTTCTTTGCAGTCTCCCCTTTCCAAGGAACTACGATTCTCTTGGTGCAATTGTCATTGAACCACAACTTACTTCCTCCTAGATAGATCCCACTCTTGGTAACTTGCAAAGCTAGCTTTATGTGATTGAAACATTCACAAAGTTGACTCCCAATTCATGGGGTTGGAAACCTATTGTCACTTTCTTCCAAATTCAGAGAGCTTGTGCTCCTCTTCCAGACTTTTGCAGCATACTTACCTGCATATATGAATTTGTACTTTGGTTCTTAAATAGAGCTTCCTTAACACTGGCAGCTTCACTAGGCATTCCAGACTTCAAAAGACATGAACTTAAAGTTCTAATAGTAACTTCATCTGGTGAACAACCGGTTGCCAACATCTTGTAAAAGATACCAATTGCTTCTGGTGCTCTTCCTTTCATACAATGACCAGTAATAAGTATAGTAAACGTCAGTTTATCCGGTATACATTTGTTCTCCATATCTACCACAATTGCATTAGCTTCATCAACATTACCGGATTTGCAATATCCATCAATGACAGGATTGTAGATAAATGGCCGTGGAACAATGTCACTCTGATTCAATAGTCTTAGAAGCTCACGAGCTTCTTCTAGTCTATTGCTCCTGCACAGAGCACTAATAAGAACAGAGAAAGTATACAAATTTGCAGAAACGTTTCTCGCTTTCATTTCATTCCAAACGTCCAAACCATAGTTCAATTGCCCAACTCGGCAATATCCATCAATTAACAAAGTGAAAGTAACAACATCAGGACAACAACCATGAAAGAGCATCCTCTTATGTACTCCTAGTGCAGACACCATGTCACCTACCTTAACAAATCCATATATAACTGCATTAAAAGTAGCTACACTAGGCTTAGCTCCCGACGTAACCATTTCATCGAAAACGGAAGAAGCCTCCTTCATCTTACTCAATTTACAATAACCCGATATCACTATCGTATAACTCAAAACATTAGGAGCAAACTCGGTTCTTAAACAAATCTCTCTTAATAAATCTCTTGCTCTATCAACCTCATATATTCTACATAAACCATGTATAAGAGTATTATAACTAACAACATCAGGATAACAACCAAAGCTTCTCATATTATTCAGAAATCTAAAAGCCTCGTCGATTTCTCCAGCAACGCAGAAACCTCGAATCAAAATATTGAATGTGAATATATCTACATCGAAATCGAATCTAACGAACTCCCTAAACAAACTAACAGCTTCGTCTAACCTATTACATTTAACCAAAATGTTAAGAAAGTTATTGTAAACAACAACATTTACATCAACCTTATTACACAAAGCATCAGTAATAAACTTGTTGGAAACATCAAACCTATGAACAAATGCAAAAGACGAAACCAAGAATCCCAACAACCTACTATCAGGCAACAACCCATCAGACCTCATGGAATCATAAACAAGTTTTGCTGAACTGTGGTGATGTTGTTGACAAAGGGACCTTAAGAGAAAATTGTAAGTCCAAAATGAATGAGAAAGGTTCAAGCTTTGTTTGGTGAACTGGAAAAAAGTGAAACCTAATTGAGGGGTGTTTAGTTTTTTGATAACTTGTAATGTAAGTGAAGGGGTTAAGTGGTTACTGACGTAAGCAGAAAACGTAGCGTCAGATGAGTTTGTGAAGCGAAGAAAGAGCGTTGAAACGATTTTGACAAACCAAGCTTCGGGTTTGTTGGGTTTGAGGGTGTGGTAATGGGTGATAAGGGTAGTATTGAAAATTCGAAAAGTGGTGAAGATGAATGAAAATGTCATCACAACAACAAATAGGTTCAACAACCGACTAGATATCCTGTAAAACAGTTCAATTATAAATTTGAGTCAATTAATTTGAACCTGGAAATGACGCTAGAACAGTGTATGCGTGATGGTGCGGCGGAGAGGAACAACGGGGTGGTGGTGCGGCCGAGAGAAAAGTGTCGTGGTGAGCGACTGGTTTTTCGTTTCTGGGTTTTCCCTTTTTGCGTAGTGGTGTCTGATTGCGTCTCTGAAGAAGAGAGGAAACCTTGTGATTTCAAAAAGTGTTATTCATATCAAACACCTATTGCGTCTCATTTTTCATCCTCTTTAATTTCTCTTTCTCTACTCCTACTGTCAATTATCTCCCTTTCTCTTTATCTGCTCATCAAGAGAGAAGAAGAATAAAATCAGGCTAACGCAAGTGGCGTCGTTTCCAATGTTGTTATACCTTCTAGAGTCTCACCACTCTCTGCCAGATACAATCTCTCTAGCATCGTCGATATAAAAGTTCTGGCTCGGGGAAAAGTTCTGATCCCCACTGATCTATCCACCGCCTTCCTTGAAGGAACCTATGCCCACGTTGGTAATCCCATTTTCAATCCCCTATGATTACTTTGTATTTTACAATTTATCAATTTGCAACGCCGAGATCGGGATTGACTGCTTCCAAAGGTGGTGTTATAGGGGCAATTCTGAGGAGAGAGCATTTTACTTGGGATACACCTTTGTGAGAGATACACCACTTGTCCATCTATAATCTTAAGGTTATAGATGAGTGGGTTCTCTCATATATAAGTGTTCAATCTTCCCTTTTATAATCAATGTGGGACTTCTTCCTCACACTTGATTCTCAACACTCCCCCTCAAGTGTGAGTCACAATGCTCCCCTCATGTGGAATGACTCTCTATCTCGAAACCAAAGGCTCTGATACCACTGTAGGGGAAATTCTGAGGAGAGAGCATTTTACTTGGGACACGCCTTTGTGAGAGACACGTCACTTGTCCATCTAAAACCGATACCACTGTAGGGGCAATTCCGAGGAGAGAGCATTTTACTTGGGACACACCTTTGTGAGAGACACACTGTGATCGGTGGATCTAGAACTGACTGTTTAACGCTGGTTTCGCGAAATGTCGCGGAAGCAAGAGTCGCCACCGTCTTTTATTTTCTCCAAACAAGGAAAGGACAAAAGCACAGAAAAATTCCTTATGAGATTGCTCTCGGTTCGGGAGGTAGATTTATAGAAAGGGAAGGTGTTAGCACCCCTTCTATCCATGGTTATCCATGGGCTCTTAGATACTTGCTCATTTGTGTTTTCAAAATGTTTGTTTGCTTTTCAAGTGAGTGAGTTTGAAAAAGTTTCTTTGAAAGTTTCAGATCGACTCTTGTATCAGTCCTCAAGAGTGTTTGAAAAGTTGTTTTGAAAGCTTTTTAAAAAGTGTCGGTGTGAAAAGAAGTTTTGATTTGTTTTGAATTAGAGCAAGTATCTACGAGTCATCTACCTACCCTAAGGAATTAGGCTGTGTAAATGTCCTTAAGGTAGTGCCTTCCCACCATTGAGAGATAGGTAGCACCACCGTTGGAGGTGTTCGGGTCAATTCGAGGGTTAGGGACAGTTTGGTCACCAGAGCAACAGTAGGACACCTTAGAAGCTACTCTCATGCCATGTTCATGGACATGAGGACTTACTAAAACGTCCTATACTCGACGACCATGTTTCGAGGGCAAGGCAACAGTGAGGCGTACCCTAAGAGTGGTGTGTGAATTGTGTGTCATTTTCAATTATGTTTTATCTTGATCATGCATTGGCGAGCTACGCTTTGATTTTATTTGGGCCATTCATTCTTTCATGTGATTAGCAGTTAAAAGGTGCGGAAATTAAAGTGCGGAAAAATAAAGTCCTACGCTATTACAAGGCGCGGGTCTATACATCGCCAAATTAACAAAGACCCGATTTTAAATAAAATGCGGAAAATAAATAAGTTCCTAATTATCTATTACAAGGCTTTGGCAATTACATAACATTTACAAGAAACGTAAGAATAAACGCGCGAAAAGAAATTAGAATCGAGAGTGCGAGGGCGTTGGACCCTTTAAAGAAATTAAATTGAAATTGGAAGTGAATTAATTATTTAACGAAGAAAGGAAGTTATTTTTTTATGTTTTTTTGTATTTAATGGAAATAAAGAGAATTAATTAGAAATTAAATAAAACCCTGGTTCTAAATTGTTTTTAATTATTAAAGAAAAATATTTAAGTTTTGACCTAATTTATACTAATTATTTAATTACATGAGTATTTACAAAATAAATTAATAATTAATAACAATAATAAGGAGAAAAAATTATTTATTAAGAAAAGAGAATAAAAATGCTAAAAACCTAATTTCTACATTTTTTAGTTATTTAAGAAAAAACATTAAAATTTTAACCTAAATTAACCTAAATTGATTATTACATTTATTTACAAAAACTATTAAGGAATTAAAAATTAAATAAACATATTTTATTTTTATGATTTCTGATTTTTTTTTGTGTTATAAAAATTATTTTGTGAATTAAATAAAAGCAATTAATCAAAATAACAATTGAAAGAATAAAAGGAAAAAATAAATAGAGAAAGAAAAAAATGAAAAGATTAAGCAAACCCTGGGGGTGTCTGGACCCAGTTTGGAGGTTAATTGCAAGGAATTTGGCCCATTGATCCCAAGCCTTTTTTGACTTTCAGTGTTTGCGTATGGCATGGTTGACTAGTGTGCATGATGGACTGCAGGTTCTGGCCATTGGATTGATCTCCTGGGCGTGTGGCAAGCAGGCAGGTGAGAGCACATGATGAACCCTGGGAGAGCATGCTGCATGGAAACGTTTTGAGAAAAATATTATTGAAGAAGTGGGGGACCTGGGAATCGAACCCAGGTCCCAATACCTGCATGCCAACGCATTTGCCAACCGTGTCATTGAGTCTCTTTGTTATTATGATAGAACACAATTAATATAATAGAAAATAAGCGCTAGTGGCATAAAGTCAGAAATCGCGCGCCAATGTTTGAATCGTCCCATCAGGTTATGACACATATGCATCGTCTTCCTCTTTCCCTGTAAATAAAAGCAAGTAGCGGGGGTTTTAAACCCCCACTAAACCAAACCTGCAATAATAGAGATTAGAGCATGGTTAAAAAGAAAAAGGGCACGAGGTGTGGAATCAATTCGTTTGGATCTCCTGATTTCAATGGTACTGGTCTTATTGTCCAATTTTTCCAGATGCATAAAGCCCTAAATTTGTAGCTTTGAAACCCTAGCAACCATCAATGGCAACTTTTGACACAGGCAGTATTAATCCAATTGGAGAACACCAATAGCTTCAGAATCATCATGTTAGTATAAATCAATCATTAAAAGACATTAATAATGCATGAAAATGCAAACACGAATATGGAAAATTTTAGGAACAGGGCAACGTGGTTCTACCAATTCTTGAGGTCAGGGGCTATATTCTTGATTGCAATCTCTTCCTGGTGGTGTCAGCAAGCTTTTGGAATAGCTTTGAGGCCTTGAAGCAACCTCTATGTATGAAAACAGTTTTCAGTTTTTTTGTGAAAAAGTGCAAGTTTTTTTTATGCCTTCTGCGCAGCTTCTTGTGTTCTTTGGTCTAGGTTTCAGTTGTGCATATATGTGTGAATGAATTAGGTTAGAAAAATAAGCCCATGATCCATTGTTTTGATGACTTTGAATATTTGATTTTCCATGATCTTTTTCAATCCTTTTTGCCATGAAAACTTGCCTATTTTGGAAGATTTGGTCTCTTGATAAGGCACACGAAATATTGAGGTCATGATGGAAGGATTTGCTGCATCAAAAAGATTTAAAATCATTATTTAGTATTTTTCTCATATTTAATTTTAATTAAATGAATTAATAGGATTAAAAATTCAATTAATTAATTAAAAATAATAAAATAACTCCCTTTTAGCTTAATGGGTCGTGCATAGCTTTTGGATAATGATTCATGGAAGAAATTGAGGCCCATTAGCAATTTTGAGGCATTTGAAACAAAGTTGACTTTTCAAAATTCCCAAAAATTTCCCAACTTCCACAAGGCATATCTTGCTCAATTTTTAATCTTTGATCATGTTCTTGGACATTTTGGAAAGGTCTTGAAGTACTCTAACCAATGCTTTTGGTCTCATGTCATTTTGATTTACCAATCTCAAGTTATGGTCTTTGACTTAAAGTGCCTTTTTGTTGACTTTTGAAAATGACCTATAATGTTGAGATTGATAACTTTTTTGTGAGAGCATTTCTTGGACTTGAAGTGTGAATATGAGTTGTAGGAAATTTCATTCTCTTCACAATGAGCTTTGGATGGGATTTTTCTGATAAACCATGTGGAAGTTATGCCTTGGTCAATTTGCAGTTGACTTTTTCAACTGTCCAAAAATAGAAACTTTTGCATCTTGAGACTTTTTGAGCCATGCCTTGAGAATCATGATCAATAATTGATCAAATGATGTTTGTGGCTTCAAAATAAGATGTTGACCAAAATTTTTAACTTTTGACTGTCAAATGACCATTTTGCCCCTGCAGTTGACTGTGAAGCAATTAGGGTTTTTTACTGTGCAATTTTGTGCTGTGAGTCTTGAAACTTGGCATATGGATGCTTGACAATGTTTATAGGCATGTGGGACTTGATTGGACCCTTGGAAACTTCAACTTCTTTGCTAGAACCAAAACCCTAATTTTTGACTGTTAGGAGGCAATTGGACTGTGCAACCCTTGGGAGATTTTGAAGCTTGATCTTGGCAAATCTTGAAGAATATGGGAGGGCAAATTTTGGGGTGCAACACACACCACTTGTCCATCTAAAACCTTAAGGTTATAGATGAGTGGGTTCTCTCATATATAAGTGCTCAATCTTCCCTTTTATAATCAATGTGGGACTTCTTCCTCACACTTGATTCTCAACAGATGTTTCAGACTACTTCCAGGCAGCTTCAATGCTTGACGGATTTGATCCCATTGAAAGCTTTAGCTTTATGCTTTTAATGGTTGTTATTGTCGGTGTCTCAGTTGAATATTATATTCACGATGTTGTTGTCGAAACTTTTTATTGGCATAATGTTGTATTGATGATTGATGGTCATGGTATTGATGGATGCTTTTGATTTTGTAAGGTGCTTGAGACATAAAATTATGAGATTTGTTGTTGCAACATAAATCTTTTCAATGATGGAAACTACTTCTGTTATTTCAGGTATCTTGCTTCTTTTTTTATCTTGTGTTTAATTTTTAAACTTTTGCCTTTATTACTGCTAACTTTATGTTATGACTTTATAAAAACACTAATACATACTTTATTGATGTAAATGTGTAGTTGACGTTTGAGTTTAGTGATGATTCGATGTTGGAAAAAAATGGATCACTTATGCTGGTACGATTTGGAGGAGTTTTAAGTCACGACTCACGAAAAAACTACATCACGAATCCTAAGCCTAATATTGAGCGCCCATGGGTTAAATATCCTTTTCTAATACAAAAGATTTTGAGAAAGTTTGTGAAGTCTCGTAGTACAGATAATTTAAAGGTTAGCAACAATTGTATTTTCTGGTAATTTTATAGATACAACAACTATTGTTAATATTTCTCCTATGTTTTAAACAGGTTAGAAGTGAAGCGAGAAAGGCGGACAAGGATAAAAACAAATACCCTCATAGATTGTCTCGTGGGGGTTACAGAAAACTTGAGAAAGAAGTATTGATGAAAAAAGACAACAACTAGGAGATGTGAACATGAGTGGTGATCAGGAACCATCTTCACCATCATGACATGATAAGTGGAAGAGGGTGTGACAAAGGTCAAATATAGACTACTCTTTTGAGGCCTCAAGATTAGTCACTGAGAGAATTGTAAGTACGTAAGACTTTTTGTGCATATGTTAAGTGTTCTTTAAATTTGCTTTGGTAATTAATAATGTATGTCTTATCATATTGTGTAGTATTCATTGGTTACCTCAACCCATGAAAGTTCCTTTGTTCCAGAACCACAATATGATATATTAGTAGAAGCCATCGGAATAAAGGAGTAGGGTGGATGTGTCCATGGTGTTGGTGATTCCATCGACCTGAGAGTGTGTTCATGTGTAAAACAAATATCTGAATGACTTCCCAGAATGCAACTAAGGAAATCCTACCGGAGTGAATTTATAAGATGATTGGGGGATTTAGGAGCTACCGCAGTGATGCGTACTTCCCAAGATGAATATCTTGCTTATCCCTCGTGTGGGAGCCCCTTATATAGTGAGAGTCCTGGCTTCATCAAAAGACTCGGTTAATGAGGGACTCTTGAGTTCCATAACTGTGTAACCACCACCGTCTCCATAAATGAAGATGATTAGTGATGTGTAATGTAGTAATGAATGTGCGCTGGTGGTTACTGGCTTTAATGGGCCGAGATAATGATCGATTATGAGCAGGTGCTTGTTGCACCCCAAAATTTGCCCTCCTAATTTCTTTTATTTGGCTTAGACTTTTGCATTCACATCATTCCAATAGGTCATGTGTATAGCATGCATTTTTCAAAAAAAAAATAGAGCACCTAGAATCAGCAGTTATGGAGCTAGGGTTCACAACTGATTTGAGGCGTATATGTTGAATAAGACGGATCATTCTGTTTCTTCTTGGTGTGGAAGACTGGGGAATCAGGGTTTTGGTTTGTGTTTAGTTTGTATTTCTTCTCCATCAAGTAACAAGGCTATTCTCTTTGTCTGAATATTAAAATGAAAGGTGTTTATTTTCATGAACTCAAGGGCATGACCTAGCGTACGTGGTCTTTGAATCAAGGTGTCTCTTCATATAAGTGTGATTATCATTTGATCAGGCTCAAGGACTTTGACATGGCATTCATCCATTCTTTAATTAACCAATTCGGGTTTTGATGAATCATGGTTCAGAGGATCATTGAATTGTGAATTTAGGGTTTTAATTGATGTTCATTGTGAATCTCCCCCTTATCAAGCTACAAGGATATCTTCCTCAAGGTAAGAGACAGATCCATTTTCATTACAGCGCATCTCAAGGTTGTAGTTCTCATGCATGGAAATTAAGCGTGTCAATTCATCAACTGGGGTTCATGGGATTTACATGTTAAGGCTATCTTGGTGGTTATTCCTCTCATGTCTCAAGTTCAATATTCATCTTCAAATGATTCCTCCAGGTCTTATTGTTCTCTCGAGTTGTTATTACTTGAAATGCAAGTTAAAGTTTCATGGGGAATTGAGGATTTGATTAGGGAAGTATCCATTCAAGTTTCTTAAGGTGCAAGTGTCATAAGTATTTTCGGTAATGCAAGGTATAAGTAAATGCAGAGGTTATAAGGCATGGTCTCAAGATTAGTTAAGGTTCTCAAGCACATGTTGTGACAAGAGGTGATTCATGCTAGTATTAGAAGAAAGTTCATGTGGATTTCTTCACAAGTCAACTTGGACTTATGGTTTCAATTGAGATTGAGGTGCATTATGCAAGCATGCAAATTGGAAGATCCATACATGGTTGATTTCTTGAAATTCAAGCTACCAAGGAAAGGAAAAATAATACAACATTTCAAACATTATTCAAGGAATGATATCACTTTTGATTTCAAGTGGAAGACTCAGGTTCCAATTGGTTCAAGATTCAAAATTCCAAGTTCAAGGCCATTGATTTCAAGTTGACAAAAATGAAATATCATTCAAGGTTTTCAAACATTTTTAAGACAGGATTTTAAGTGGAAATTCCAAAAGTATGTGTATCACAATTCAAGTTTGCTTAGCATATAAATTTCAATATTCTTAAGAACCAATTCAAAATATGAGGCCTTTTCGTGTTATCATTCGTTGCACATTCAAAGTTTCAAAACAGTTTCATTCACAATTGTCCATGGAAGCCTTGAACAAAAAAAAGTCATTACAAAATATGCTATAATGCTTTAAGTCGTTACATTAACTCATCATTTCTACAAAAATATCATACAAAAAGAATTAATCTTTTCCTAGTGGTTCCTAAAATTATGTTATCTTGGTCTTCTAAGTTCCTCTCCTCTTGATCATCTTCAATAATGCTGCCATGTGTGAACTTCAATATTTCCGCCTCTATGCCTTTGTACCGGATCTGCAAAATAAAAACCGATCCAATTAAAATTTCTGCCTATTCTAAAAGAACAGAGTTCAGACAAGCTTCACAAACAAAATTCTGGCCCTGCACAATCAAGTCAGTTCACATGAAAGCTTATTTTATCCTAGATCTAATGTCTAGACCTCGTCTCTAGCATATTCATGCCAAGCTTCAACATATCGCAAGGTAACGTACTAGCTGCCCTGCAAACAGAAATCAACCAATGTCATCATGAGATTAAGAGCAAGCAAGTTTCACCCTGCATCATAGCTTCAAACCAGCTCTAAATGTCGTAACATTTTTTAATAAAAAACCAAATGACTCATAATAGAAAATCAACAATTTCTAAACCCCTAACAAACTGAATCAAAATTGTCAAACCAAAAAAACAGACTAACAGAAGCCAACTAAAAGTAACAGTTAACAACCTCTAACAACCACCAGATAACTCAACTAACCCCCAATTCCTCATATTATTCTAACTGTCCAGAAACAAAATTTGGCACCAATTCTGTAACTAATTTCCACCCAACTAACTCCTAACATAACTCAATCCCCTAACCTCTTTTCTAACTAATTTCTAACTAACTTTTCCTAACTAATCTCTAACTAACTCTAACAGAAAAAGGAGATGAAGAGAATAACAGAAACTTACAGATTGAGATAAAAGGGATCCACCCTATCATTATCAGAGGGAGACAATTATATAGAAAAAAAATCACAGAAGGAACTCACCATCTTCTCTCAATTCATAGAGATAAAAATCAACAATTGGACTAGGATAAAATTCATAAACCTAAAGCTAAAATGACGTTTTTTGCTAAAATATTCCGGTCTCTTTCCCTCATTTGCCTTGTTATATAAATATTTATTTGCTTTACTTGAACAATAAGAGGACAGACACATATCAAATTCTGGATTACTTTACTTGAAAGCAATCATTCTGGATTCTTGCATCCAACGTTACTTGTCAAAATCTTTCTTTTTCTGGAGGTAAATTCTGTACAAAAAAAACAGTTCTCATATTTTATTTTATCTTTTTAATTTTGTTCCTTTGTTCTGTGTTCGTAGGAGGTAGTATATAATGCCGTTTCACCAAGTGCTTTTCATAAAATGAAAAAATAAGCAAATATAAATAAATTAAAACAAAATCCAACGTCATACAGTAAGTATATATTTTTCTAATAATCAATCATAACCCACACAGCCGCAACCAAAACTTTATTCAAACCCAACTGGTCTCATTTGAGAGAAACCAATAGGTGTTCTTGCTCTTACCCTTCAACCCAATGTGGAATTGAGATTCTAGGATAATAATCCAAAAGAATCCTCAATCTACCACAAATCTAAAAAAATGTAATGAGAAAACAAAAATATTCCATAATAGAATGAAAAACAATACGGATAGAATCATCTTTATTCTTTCCTTCTTCAACAATCCTTCAATACCTGTAGTGAGCAGGCTTGTATGGACCCTCAACAGGCACACTGATGTAATCTGCCTGATCTTTGGAAAGCTTGGTTAGCTTAGCTCCAAGCTGGTTAAGATGAAGAGAAGCCACCTTCTCATCAAGGTGCTTAGGCAAAACATACACCTTCTTTTCATATTTCCCAGAAGTCTTTTCCTTCCATAGCTCAATCTGAGCAATTACTTGGTTAGTGAAAGAGCAGGACATGACGAAACTGGGATGTCCAGTAGCACATCCCAAGTTCATCAAACGACCTTCAGCCAAAACAATGATACCAGAGTTGTTTTCAGGGAAAACCCATCTATCAGTTTGTGGCTTAATCGTAATACGTTTCACGCCAGGGTAGGTCTCGAGACCATGCATATCGATTTCATTGTCGAAGTGACCAATGTTGCAGACAATGGCATTGTTCTTCATTTTCTTCATGTCACTGACCATGATAATGTCTTTGTTACCAGTGGTGGTAACGAAAATGTCAGCCTCGGACACAACATCCGCAAGAGTCAGAACTTGTAGACCTTCCATGAGTGCTTGAAGTGCACAGATTGGATCGATCTCAGTCACGACCACACGAGCACCACCTTGTTTCAATGCAGCAGCACAACCCTTGCCAACATCTCCGTAACCACATACAACAGCAATCTTTCCGGCAATCATCACATCAGTAGCTCTCATCAATCCATCGGGAAGAGAGTGACGGCAACCATACAAGTTGTCAAACTGTTATCATCACAAAACAACATTGAATTGTCTATTAGATCAAACAAAAATAAAACATAATTGAGACTCAAATTTATCACAAATTTAACAGATCTGAACAAATCACATTTTACAAAACCAAAAATAGAAAAAAGTACCTTGCTCTTGGTGACAGAGTCATTGACATTGATAGCAGGGAACAAAAGAGAACCATTGGCTTGCATCTGATAAAGCCTCTTAACACCGGTGGTAGTTTCTTCGGAAACACCAACAATTCTATCCTTCATCTTGTGGTAACGTTTTGGATCGGTTTTCAAACCATCTCTGATAATGGTATAAACGATCTGCATTTCAGCGTTATCAGTTGAAGAAGGATCGGGCAACGTACCATCCTTCTCGAAAAGCTTTTCAGCTTTAAGACCTTCATGGATCAAAAGAGTGACATCACCACCATCATCAACAATGAGATCTGGACCACCGGAAGGACCCCAGTCAAGAGCGCGTTCAGAGCACCACCAGTACTCCTGGAGAGTTTCACCTTTCCATGCAAACCTATTGTCACTTTCTTCCAAATTCAGAGAGCTTGTGCTCCTCTTCCAGACTTTTGCAGCATACTTACCTGCATATATGAATTTGTACTTTGATTCTTAAATAGAGCTTCCTTAACACTGGCAGCTTCACTAGGCATTCCAGACTTCAAAAGACATGAACTTAAAGTTCTAATAGTAACTTCATCTGGTGAACAACCGGTTGCCAACATCTTGTAAAAGATACCAATTGCTTCTGGTGCTCTTCCTTTCATACAATGACCAATAATAAGTATAGTAAACGTCAGTTTATCCGGTATACATTTGTTCTCCATATCTACCACAATTGCATTAGCTTCATCAACATTACCGGATTTGCAATATCCATCAATGACAGGATTGTAGATAAATGGCCGTGGAACAATGTCACTCTGATTCAATAGTCTTAGAAGCTCACGAGCTTCTTCTAGTCTATTGCTCCTGCACAGAGCACTAATAAGAACAGAGAAAGTATACAAATTTGCAGAAACGTTTCTCGCTTTCATTTCATTCCAAACGTCCAAACCATAGTTCAATTGCCCAACTCGGCAATATCCATCAATTAACAAAGTGAAAGTAACAACATCAGGACAACAACCATGAAAGAGCATCCTCTTATGTATTCCTAGTGCAGACACCATGTCACCTACCTTAACAAATCCATATATAACTGCATTAAAAGTAGCTACACTAGGCTTAGCTCCCGACGTAACCATTTCATCGAAAACGGAAGAAGCCTCCTTCATCTTACTCAATTTACAATAACCCGATATCACTATCGTATAACTCAAAACATTAGGAGCAAACTCGGTTCTTAAACAAATCTCTCTTAATAAATCTCTTGCTCTATCAACCTCATATATTCTACATAAACCATGTATAAGAGTATTATAACTAACAACATCAGGATAACAACCAAAGCTTCTCATATTATTCAGAAATCTAAAAGCCTCGTCGATTTCTCCAGCAACGCAGAAACCTCGAATCAAAATATTGAATGTGAATATATCTACATCGAAATCGAATCTAACGAACTCCCTAAACAAACTAACAGCTTCGTCTAACCTATTACATTTAACCAAAATGTTAAGAAAGTTATTGTAAACAACAACATTTACATCAACCTTATTACACAAAGCATCAGTAATAAACTTGTTGGAAACATCAAACCTATGAACAAATGCAAAAGACGAAACCAAGAATCCCAACAACCTACTATCAGGCAACAACCCATCAGACCTCATGGAATCATAAACAAGTTTTGCTGAACTGTGGTGATGTTGTTGACAAAGGGACCTTAAGAGAAAATTGTAAGTCCAAAATGAATGAGAAAGGTTCAAGCTTTGTTTGGTGAACTGGAAAAAAGTGAAACCTAATTGAGGGTTGTTTAGTTTTTTGATAACTTGTAATGTAAGTGAAGGGGTTAAGTGGTTACTGACGTAAGCAGAAAACGTAGCGTCAGATGAGTTTGTGAAGCGAAGAAAGAGCGTTGAAACGATTTTGACAAACCAAGCTTCGGGTTTGTTGGGTTTAAGGGTGTGGTAATGGGTGATAAGGGTAGTATTGAAAATTCGAAAAGTGGTGAAGATGAATGAAAATGTCATCACAACAACAAATAGGTTCAACAACCGACTAGATATTTAAGTTAAAGAGGTAGATAAATTATATTCCAATTTCCGAATGAAAAATTAACCACAAACAAAAACACGAGTTTGTTAAAAGAAAGAGAGAAACTAAACAACCCGGCGACTCATAAGCAGTGAGTTGGTTAAGGAAAACCACCGGAGCCATAACAAAAACGAGGCTGGCTATTGTCACTGCTAATAGACCTGAACCTGGGTGATCTATCCATAACCAGGATGAAGCTTAGGTGAAACTACAAAAGATCGAGACCGATCTTTTGTATTCTACAACATGACTCTGCATCATTGACAATAATTATTACTGAACCAATATACGAATCTAGGGCTTCCATGTAACTGCCCCGTGTAACAGCCACCTTTCACCGCCCCATTCCGAATACCAATCGGAAACCTTAGAGAAACCGGCGAGCAATTCGGCCGATTCAGTGATTCCGAGGACCCGTAAATTGAACCAGAGGGAGAGTATGTTACGCTAGACGAAGAAGATTGGGGAGGAGATACTTTCTTGAGGGATTTGGGAGGTGAAAGAATAGCTCTGATTTTCAACGGATGAGGTAACGACGAAGAAACTCGATCATATTCTTCGATTATATTTTTGATATCACACATGATTCGCCCTATTATAGCAATACTTAGTTTACTGTTTTAAAATTTTTTGTTTTTAAACAAAAATTTATTTTGAAGTATATTATAAAATCTTGCCTTTTTTTTATATTTATTGTTGTTTTATTGTTTTAATAGTTATTGTCACGTATATTTTGCTTTTGATACTTTAGTGTTGCTACTTGTTTATTTGAATTTCAAATAAATATTAATTTTATTTAAAAATTATTTCTTAATTTTTTATTTATTGGTTCAATTTCAACGTAAAATTTATCGGTTCAATTTCAACTATGCGAAATAGATCAACTTTAATTTTAAGTTCTATATTTATGTTCATTATTCCTCTATGTCTCCTAAATTGTCTCATAAAATTAAAGAGTTTGACTCTGAATGTGAGAAGCGTAGGAAAAAGAAAAGACTTATATTTTTTTTAAATTATATTATTTATTTAAGAGATCATTTTTTGTTATTTGTCCTGGACCTCTAAAATGTCAGATCGGCCCTGCCTTTGTTAGGATAAATAAGAAATAGTCAAATGCAAGCTTCTTTTTCTTATTAATATAGTTTAATTTGCCTATCAAAAAAATAATAATAATAATAAGGTATGAAAGACAATGATTTGATTGTGATCAAGATTTTCAGAACTGATATGATTATTACTTTACAGACACAAAGGATGAGAGAAACTTCAAGTTGGATTATTAACATTATTAGTTTATGGCTTGTTACTTTCTATTTCTTTTAGCAGCATTGCTCTAGTTGTTGAATGCTTAGTTTCTGATCATGAAGCTCTTTTAGACTTCAAAAATGGGCTTAAGGATCCTCGGAACAGGCTCTCTTCATGGAGAAACACCGATTGTTGTCAATCGCATGGTTGCAATCGATCTCCATAACCCGCCTTCAGAGCAAGTTGATTCATCTCCAAGTAAGTATGGAATATGGAACTTAAGTGGTGAGCTAAAACCATCTTTGATGAAACTCAAGTCATTAAGCCATTTAGACTTGAGCTTCAACACATTTGAGGGAATACCAATTCCTGAGTTCTTTGGATCACTGATGAATTTGCAATATCTGCTTGAAGGTCTTATTCCTGTTTCCATCGGGTCGCTGCAAAATCTCGTTGTCTTGATGCTTGAAGAGAATAAATTAAATGGTACGCAACAAGATAGTTTAGGACAACTTACTAAGCTGTCATACTTAGATGTTTCTTCCAATCAGTTGACAGACACGGTAACTGAAGAACATTTTTCAATGCTGGCAAAATTGAAGATTGTAGTCATGTCTTCCAATTCACTCACTATGAATATCAGTACCAATTGGATGCCGCCATTCCAAATATCTTTTCTTCTTATGTGTTCATGTGTTTTGGGGCCTTCATTACCACCTTGGCTTAAATCACAAAATAAGATTGCTTATTTAGACGTTTCAAATTCGAGCATTTTTGGTTTTATACCCAAACTGGTTTTGGGATATATCTTCCTGATTAACGTTTTTAAACATGTCAAATAATGAGTTGGAGGGTTGGCTTCCAAATCTGAATGCTTGTGGCATTATCTTCTGATGCAGTTGATCTAAGCTTTAATCTTCTTGAAGGACCGGTTCCTATTATAAAACCTGGTGTCGAGTTGCTAGATCTCTCACACAATCACTTTTCTGGTGCAATCCCATTAAACATATGTGAATAAATGAATCATGTGGGATTTCTATCTCTTTCTTATAATCAACTCCATGGAGAAATACCATTGTGTTACTGTCATTAATCTTTTAAACAACAACTTAACTGGAAGGATTCCTCCAAGCCTTGCAAATTGCTCTATTCTGGATGTACTAGACCTTGGGAATAATAGTCTGTTTGGGACAATTCCAGATTCCTTGGGCCAGTTTCAACTACTCAGATCATTACACCTTAATGACAATCACTTTTCGGGGGATTTGTCATCATCTTTAAGAAATTTGTCAGTGTTAAAAACTAAGGATCTTGGAAACAATGAATTGTCTGGTATTATTCCAACATAGTTTGGAGAAGGTTTCACATTTCTAAGAATTCTTATTTTGAGGTCTAATGCATTTTCTGGCGAATTGCCACCCGAACTTTCAAAACTAGGCTTGTCGCAAGTCCTCGACCTTTCGAGAAATGACTTGACTGGAAGCATTCCAGCAAGGTTGGGTGATCTGAAAGCTATAGTCCAAGCCAAGAAGAAAAATAAATACTTACTGTATGGAGATTATGAAGGTCACTACTATGAAGAAAGTTTGAATGTGTATATAAAAGACCAAAGACTAAAGTATACCAAGACACTTTCCCTTGTTACTGGCATAGACCTTTCTGATAATAACTTGACAGGAAATATTCCCAATGAAATTACAAAACTATCTGGTTTGATGGTTATCAACTTGTCAAGAAACCATATAACCTACCAAATTCCAGAAACCATATCAAATTTGCGTCAACTATCATATCTTGATCTGTCGAGCAATCAATTTTCTGGCACAATTCCTTTAAGTTTGCCTTCCTTGACATTTTTGGGAAGCCTAAACTTGTCCGACAACAACCTCATGGGTGCTATTCCTTACACAGGTCAAGTGACAACCTTTGATGCATCAGCTTTTACTGGGAATCCTAATCTTTGTGGCACTCCACTGTGAAGTGCTCAGGTAGTGTTGGTTTGGGGTTTGCAACCGGTATTTTGGCTCCATATTTTACTTTAGCCATGAAGAGATCATGGAGTGATGCCTATTTTTACTTTCTGGATCAAGTTATAAACAAGTTCTTATTGAGGCTCCCACAACCACAAGGTATAAATAATGGCCAAAAGAGGAAGAGTCATCATAGGCAGTAGTTTATATCTGTGTGTATGTGTTCATCTCTGGTTACATGTATAACCTTTGTCTAAACTTCTTCTGAACATATAATCATATAGGAAGAAAAATATGTAGTATATTTAATGTATCCATTTTGTTTATGAATATTCCTAAAATAGTCTTTATATATGTGTTCTATATACCAACATGACCAATTTCCGATTGGATGTCTGCGTGAATTGTTTTTACAGTATCATATACCATAGATTATAAATGTAAAATTATTGACAACCATGACAAGATATTTATGCAAAGCTGAAACCTTTATTTCCAAGTGAAACTTGTGAAAAACAATTTAAAATCATAAAAAAATATATAAAACCATAAAAAGAAGAATTGCATACGGATAGGTATTGCCTATTCAGATGTGTAAATTGAGAAACTGAGTGTTGGTCAGGAGATATTTGCATTCTGCAAAGACTGGCATGCCACTGTGCCTACAGATGTACGCATTACATGCTCACCTAGCATTGCAGTACAAGAAACATCTGTCTTAAGATGAGGCTGTACTAGCTCCCATATCTTTTTCTTTTGTATCTGCATGTTGTTATACGAGAATGTTATGGCAATACACAATAATAAACCACACAAAATATGAAGAACAACGAGATTAAGTTGAGTTATTGCCTGATTTGGTTTGGCAGCTTCAGGTTGATTATCCTTCTCATCTTCAGATCCAAACCATATTCTTTCACCAGGATTTGCTTCCTCGGGAGGGAATAGAAGTTCAACATTCTCATGTTTGGAATCAGAAGCAGCCATCAACATTCTCATGTTTGGAATCAGAAGCAGCCATCAACATTCCACATGACTTGACACCACGCATATTCCTTGGCTTCAGATTCGAAAGAACAATAACTTTTTTCCCCTGCATTTGTTATGAGAATATTCATTAATTGCATAACATAAGTGTCTTCCTCACAAACATACACACGTAGAGCAATTAAGTTAAAGAGGTAGATAAATTATATTCCAATTTCCGAATGAAAAATTAACCACAAACAAAAAGACGAGTTTGTTAAAAGAAAGAGAGAAACCTGAAGGTGTTGAAGAGGGATATAATTAACAAGGCCACTGCAAATGATTCTAGGTTCAGGCTCACCAATATCAACTTCCTCAACATAAAGCGTCTCAGCTTCATCATGTTTCCATGCCCTGAGAACGCGACCGACCCTTATGTCAAGCAGCCCAGCAGAATCTCTAACACCACCATTGTTAGTGGCTTCCGGGACAGGCTCGGAAGCAACAGTGCAATAGGAAGGAAATCAGCAATGGGTTGATGATGTTCGTGAAGAGAAAAATGAGAGCATGAAAACACTGCCACCCTTCAAAATATTTGCCATTTTATGAATTGATAGGTGAGAGAGATAAGAAAGAGAGAAACATCTTTCAAGAGCTTCGTCCCTTCGGACCCGTCACGGGTGGGGTGCCCAACATGTTAACGGGTATTACACGGATCCATGGGTCGGCTCCAATCACTGGACCGGATTTTTTTTTTTTTTAAATTCTAAATATTCGTAGGTATTACAAAAATAACATATCACTACTAACATTTTATTTATTTATAATTAAATGTTACTATATGCTACAAAGTATTTTGTTTTCGGTTTAACCACCAAAACTGTTCAAATTTTAAATTTTATATTTAAATAGTTTTAATAAAAAATGTAACTTAAAGGAGATCGTTTACTTTGTCATCCAATAGAAATATGTTATTTTATTATGTTATATAATATTTTTTTTTTTTAAATTATAGTCTGATTTGGTGGGATTCATGATTGTGATTGGTTGACAATGTAAAAGGGTTTTACACAGTTATCCAATGAAAATATATCATTCTGTTATGTCATTGTTTATCGTGTAATTTGGTAAACAATTGCTAGTCCTATAAAACAAAGATAATTTCTGATTACTCGCAAGATCGATTAGATTGATCCTAGAGCATGTGTCAAATATTTTGTTGTTTTAATGTTTCTAAGTATTTGTTCTATGTCAAAAAGATAAGTATAATAAAGGTAAAAGTAAAGGTTTTGAAGATAAAGGTAAAAAGGTTTTAAAGTAAAAACTGGAATGTAAAGAATTCGTCTGGAAGGCTAAACGAAAGTAAAAGACTTTATTTAATGTAAATTACTTTGAATATAAAAATAGTGTTTCTATACGTACATTCTCAATGACTCTTTTCTCTAACACTTGTACTTCGAGTTTGTATAAGTAATTTGTGTAATTTAATGTCTAAGCGGGTGTGGTTTTGGATTTTGTGTGCGGATTTGAGTGAGCCCAAATCTGCACCTGAAATATCGGGTGGCACCCGAACCCGAACCTGAACCCAATCAACTCAGGTTTTAACCCATTTACTCGGGTTCGGGTGGAGCCCATGGGTTTGAGTCTGCCTGTCATCCCTACTTTAGGCCATTTAGGTCATGTCCAACGAATGATAGTAAACAATATCTCGACTGGCTAGCTAAAGTCGAACAAAAGAAATCCCAAGTCTGGAAAGACATGGGTATTTTCGACTTAATCCAATTGTAGAAAGTTGGGCCAACCTATTGCCAGCACATATTGATGGCATCCTTATATTTATGGGATGGTACCTATAATACCTTTCACCTCCCTTTTGGAATTGTAACTCCCACCTTATTTGATGTTGCTATTGTAATTTAGCTTCAACCAACTTGAGAAATCTTAGACCCTTTTGAGAAAGCAACAAACACCACTGATTTCAAAGTTAAACATGATGACTTCACCAAATACATCAACCATTACCATGTTTAAGGAGACGAAGTGTCAGATGTCGAGCATATAGCTTTTCTTGCCTTATGGCTAACTAGGTGTATCTTCTGTAGTAAATCTTTGCAAGTAGCTAAAAGATTTCTAACTCTAGCTAATCGACTTCACTCTGGTCGAAACATATTCCTTAGTGAACTAATATTAACTGGATTATATGAATGTATTGGGGAAGCTACTACAACCCTAAAAGAGTATAAAGTAGGTACCAATTCACTACTTGTTGGCCCGAATTGGCTTCTTCAATGGTTGCTTAATGCCATGTTCGAACCCCCTATCTCCACCTCTGGAAAAATAGATAAAATGGACCATGAGATTCATAGTCGAACTATTAAGGGAACCAAATTAGTTTGATTAACCCAAAACTATGATGGTAAAAACTTAGAGGGGTGCTTTACAAAGTATGTTATGATGTTTGTTAAACGTTATAATTTTACTCCTTCGATGACTCCCTTTGCTAAGAGAACTCATGGTCCTGAATAGTTTACAAGATCTCTCTCCGACATTCTGCCAACTAAAGAGGCAGAAAACTTAGACATCTGGAAAGCCTTTTTGCTCCCAAGTGCAGAAGCCATCGTCTTCTTCTGCAACTTCTTCTTCTTCAACCTTCAATAGCCATCGTCTTCATCAAGTGCAGAAGCTTGTTTTAATTTTCATCTGGCTCTTCTCCGCAACAACATCCTGCTTCAGCAACTTCATCACCTTCTGAACCTTCATCTCAAACTCATCATCTACACCATCAAGACCTTCAGCACCACGAATCATCATCATCAACACATCATATTCATTATTGAGACCTCTATCCTCTGCTTCAACAATATACTGCCATAATCAACACAACAGAATCGCGCGGGGTATACAGAGAATGAAAATCTTAAACACAGCGAAGAAGTAGAAGAAGAAGATCGAGCAGAAGAAGATCGAGGGATATTATACCTGAATTGATTTCTGGATTTCTGTTTCGCCGACAGCGACTACGAAACACTTCTGGAACTTCTCTGACCGGTAAGATCCAGAACCTCATTTTTTATCTTCTTCGTGTTTTCTTGATATGCGCACATAGAGAAAAGCATGTAGGTCAACAGCCCCATGGAGGCGCATCCTGGAGTCCATTCATTCTTGCTTAATTTTAATTCTTAGATACTTAGGGTTTAAGCGTTTTTGGATAAAATTAAGAATGAACAAGATGAGATTGATGAAAAAGGATTCAGGATTTAGGACATTCACTCAGACGAAGATAATGGTGTATGTGGTTTGAGGTTTCTGATACAGATAATGGTGGTTGTGGCGGTGATTTACCGGTTGTGAGGAAGCTTCGATTTGGATGAGATGAAGCCAGAGAAGAGGTGTGGGGTTATGGCGGAGTGGGGTGAAGATAAGGCGGAGATGAGTTGTTATGGTGATGTTTTGCGGCGGCGATGAAGAAGGAGTTTGATAGTTGCGCCGCTGTTGAGATAAAGAGAACAATGAGTTCTCATGAAGTCCAAGAGGCACAAACCTTAACCCTAATCCCTCACTTTCAATTTTTTTGGTTTCTTTTCAAGTTCTTTTTTTATTTATTATTTTATTTTATTACCAATTGCTTTTAATAGACTGTAAAAAAAATGAAAATGAATGGTATAATGTTGCAACCTGGGCCGAACCATCCTTTTCTAAGCCCATGTCCTACTTTTTTTAGCGAGTTTGAGTTGCAATAAAAAAGATTCTATTGGACTCTGATCAATGGGCCTAGCGCCTGAATTGTTATTTGCACCCCTGGACTATGTCTTGTTGTTTACTACTTTAGTAATTTCTTTTAGCTAATTTTGTTAATTGTTTAGACTTGTTTGAATTTTCTTTACATGATAAAAACGATAAAATCAATAAAAATTTGTAGATTTTTTTATATTTTAGTTTTAGGAATTAAATTCTGATTATCTGATTATATTTGAAATTCGCGATTCACCTTTGTTTGGTGAGATTTGAGTCTTATGCAGGTTTATTATGCGGATGTACCTGAGACTTTGATTGTGATTTATTTTCACAATCGATGATGAGTCGATACTTATTCCAGGCATTTGATTTCTAACCCTTTTCTTTGAATGGTGAAGCTTTCGCGAAGATCGTCGGGTTTCTTTGCTTTTTGCTTTGCTCTACGGGCTAGTACTTGTTTGGTATATTTTCTTTCTACTTTCTCTCCGCATTTATCGCTTCCTAGAGATCATGTGAAGTATGATAACATTAGGTTTATAAAATAGGCTAGTCTCCCTTTGACTTTTCTTTCCCTTTTTGTATATGCATTTAAAACAAAAACTTCTTTTTCTTACAAACTTCAAAATACTAAAAATTTACTGACAAGAATTATATCTTTGTTAAGTATGAGAGATGATAAGTAGGTTTCTTCTCGACCTTATTGTTCTCTTATTCTAAGCTTTGGTATGGTTCAAGTCTCAAAGACTTATCTCATGAATAAGTAAAAAAATGGCTAATATCTCTCTCTTGAGATTAACTAGATGTTGTCCACAAGCAAAACACCAACAAACACAAACTCTTTTGTCTTTGGGCTTTTCTTTCAAAAACTTTTCAAAAGAACATGTTAATTAACTTCTGTACTGACGCGTAAGTCTCCAAAGGTCGAGTTGCGGCAGAAGGCAAAATTAATATTGTTCATTAAAAAATACAAACCAACAAAAACATATAAGCCGAACTACGGCAGCTCTGATTCCTTAAAAGGGATACGTAGGCATCGGGGTAGGGCCCGAACAAGCACAACTTTTATTTTTCCTAAATTCTTTTCTCATTTCTTTTGCATGCATTTTCCCTTCAATAGTATAGTAAACAATAATCATAGATTGAACACACCCATAAGATAGATAACAAGAGTGGATACGTAGAGTACTACGGGCGTGTGAGGTGTTAATACCTTCCCCTCGCGTAACAGACTCCCTTACCTGTATCTCTTGGTCGTTCGACCTTGATTTCACCCTTCTCAGGTTTACTCGATGTTTACCTTTCCCCTCTTGTGGGATAAAATACGTTTGATGGCGACTTCATTGTTTGATGATTTTCAGCCGGTTGTTTCAGCTGGCGACTTCACTGGGGAATAGGTCGACCAAATGTTGGTCCATCCCGGAGTCGCTCCTAGATCTTGCTTTCTCTTTCGTTAGGTGTTTATTTTTTTACGCTTTCAGTTTATTCATTCATTTGGTATATACTTGAGCATATGTATGCATTACACTTTACTGTCTTCCATATACTGCTGTTGTACTGGATCTGCTTCTTGTTTGGGTGGGGATGTTACTATTGAGGTAAAAGGCCCAGTACCCAGGCCAGAGTGCACTAGAACACCTAGGAATAGAGTGGGGGCATGACGGCTATAGGATGTGGTCTGATTAGTGCAGTCATGTCATATACCACGCTCAGATGAGGTTCAATTGGAGGTACTTTCATCATGCACGTCTGTGTTGCGATGATTTTACTTTCAAGCGAACCCGTGATTTTCGAGTTACCATTGTCTTACCCTGACCTAGTATTCACATGTGAGTAGGGAGGGAATTCTTATCACAGGTACAGTTGGTGA